AACATAACCCACGCCCACTGGACTACAGGTGGTCACCTCGCAGCTGTTTTATAGTGCCCTTATATAGTCATCTGTATGGTAATATGGCTGACTGGGCTTTCTGGGATTTGCAAATGCAAAATGGAGGGGACATTTTTCAGAGATACCATATCAACCGGGCTGTTGTCATGGTGCTTAATATTTAACTTACAAGTTGAACGGGGTTTCTAGTGTGCCTGGGGGATTCTCATCTGAATGCTTGCACTTTGTATCACTGGGTGGGGTTGAACACAGTCATTCTATTTATATATATATATATATATATTATAATAAATTAATATAATTATATATATATATATATATATATACCCAGATATATCTATATACTATATACACATAATTAATATATCTCTCTCTCACAATTTTTTGTTTATAATATAATATATCATATCATATATAACTACCTATACTATATAACATTCATATATCATATATACATAATCTATATACACTCTATATCTACATTCTATATCTAATATATATATATATAATATCCTATATCTTCCTATATAATAAATATACATATCTATATATCTATACATATATATATATATATATAATAATCTATATATATTCTATTACATATATATAATATACTATTAATATATATATAAAATCTCAGGATAGTATGGTCAAGCTAAAGGCAGCTACTGGAGGGGACAAACCAATTGACCAATCTTGACTAAAGACTCAACATAGAACTGCAGATTGATCATGTAGCAGGTCCTTTGCAGAACGTCACTCTCATCATGGTCTGCCTAAAAGAAACTGAGTTTCTTGCCAGGCTCGCCACCTTGTGTACTTTCATATTCAAAGAGTCACTTATATCTTGTGTCTGTCTTCGTGTTGGTCGGCCTTATTTTACAAAGCAATGCATAGGTTTTAAAAAAAAAAATTCTTAATTAGACACAATAACAATATTAACAAATAAAATCAGGCGGACATCTTGTAACCACACAGCCAAAGTTACATTTTATTACAAACCTTATTCCAAGTTACATCCCCTTTGTCTTACCAAAATTGCTCCTCCACATCATCCCAAAATTTAACTTCTGTTAAACATTTCTCAGAAGCCAATACAACAAACATCAGCAACAATGAAAAACATCACAAACAGATATGAAATACCAAAAACTATTCTAAACATCATCCAGAGATCCCTAGGTCAGTCGTGGAAGACCCCAAGTAGCTCTCTAATAAGGAAATTAACAAAAAGATCAGCACACATTTCTTCTACAGGCCAAATATGCAAAGTTTTGTACAAATAAAGTCAGAATGTTCTACTTAAATATCAAGCATCCAACAACATATGAGACATTGATAAACACATAAAGTATTAGTAAATCAATAAGCATAGGTGACTGGTACACACAAAGTATAGCCAAGCATATGTTGTGCAGTTAGTCCATTTGTCTTCTTTTTCTTCTTTGCGTTCGGTTTTGTATGCTCAAATCAGACCATCAGGTGGGCTGCCTCTATAAACTTGCATAACAGCTGCAGGTCCTTCACAGCTTGTTCTGCACACTTTGCTCTTGAGGCCAGCTGTCTTTTCAAAGTTGCAGGTAGAGTGAGCAGGTCTGCAGAATGTCCTGAGGTGTTTGTAGTCCTGTCTGATAGGCACACTGTGGGGACTGTACAGTCTTTATTTTATGCATGTGGTAGTTGAGCCTGCAGTGTCCTGTTTGTAGATGGAAAATTGTATGTTGTTTTCTGTTTAGTCTGCTCATGGGGCCTTGTGGATGTTCACTGTTGGTTTTTTTCTGGCCACAACTCCTTTTATTTTCTCTTGATAAGTGTTTTGATTTCTGGCATGGAGAATGAATGGGTGTGTTGTTTTTCCTTTGTTTCATTTTTTTTGCAAAGTCTGTCCGTTGAGACAGAAACAGGTAAACAGCATCAATCAGGTCACACCTGGCTGCTGTAGCCATTATGTCCTTACTCACATAGACCTGTAGGTCATACCTGGCTGCTGTAGCCATTATGTCCTTACTCACATAGACTTGCACGTCACACCTGGCTGCTGTAGCCATTATGTCCTTACTCACATAGACCTGTAGGTCATACCTGGCTGCTGTAGCCATTATGTCCTTACTCACATAGACCTGTAGGTCATACCTGGCTGCTGTAGCCATTATGTCCCTACTCACATAGACCTGCTGGTCATACCTGGCTGCTGTAGCCATTATGTCCTTACTCAAATAGACCTGTAGGTCACACCTAGCTGCTGTAGCCATTATGTCCTTACTCACATAGACCTGCTGGTCATACCTGGCTGCTGTAGCCATTATGTCCTTACTCACATAGACCTGCACGTCATACCTGGCTGCTTTAGCCATTATGTCCTTACTCACATAGACCTGCTGGTCATACCTGGCTGCTTTAGCCATTATGTCCTTACTCACATAGACCTGCTGGTCATACCTGGCTGCTTTAGCCATTATGTCCTTACTCACATAGACCTGTAGGTCATACCTGGCTGCTGTAGCCATTATGTCCTTACTCACATAGACCTGTAGGTCATACCTGGCTGCTGTAGCCATTATGTCCTTACTCACATAGACCTGCTGGTCATACCTGGCTGCTGTAGCCATTATGTCCTTACTCACATAGACCTGTAGGTCATACCTGGCTGCTGTAGCCATTATGTCCCTACTCACATAGACCTGTAGGTCATACCTGGCTGCTTTAGCCATTATGTCCTTACTCACATAGACCTGTAGGTCATACCTGGCTGCTGTAGCCATTATGTCCTTACTCACATAGACCTGCTGGTCATACCTGGCTGCTGTAGCCATTATGTCCTTACTCACATAGACCTGCTGGTCATACCTGGCTGCTGTAGCCATTATGTCCTTACTCACATAGACTTGCACGTCATACCTGGCTGCTGTAGCCATTATGTCCTTACTCACATAGACCTGTAGGTCATACCTGGCTGCTGTAGCCATTATGTCCCTACTCACATAGACCTGTAGCTCACACCTAGCTGCTGTAGCCATTATGTCCTTATAAAGACCTGCAGGTTACACCTAGCTGCTGTAGCCATTATGTCCTTACTCACATAGACCTGCTGGTCACACCTAGCTGCTGTAGCCGTTATGTCCTTACTGACATAGACTTGCACGTCACACCTGGCTGCTGTAGCCATTATGTCCTTATATAGACCTGCAGGTCACACCTGGCTGCTGTAGCCATTATGTCCTTACATAGACCTGTAGGTCATACCTGGCTGCTGTAGCCATTATGTCCTTACATAGACCTGTAGGTCACACCTGGCTGCTGTAGCCATTATGTTCTTACTCACATAGACCTGTAGGTCATACCTGGCTGCTGTAGCCATTATGTCCTTACATAGACCTGTAGGTCACACCTGGCTGCTGTAGCCATTATGTTCTTACTCACATAGACTTGCAGGTCACACCTGGCTGCTGTAGCCATTATGTCCTTACTCACATAGACTTGCAGGTCACACCTGGCTGCTGTAGCCATTATGTCCTTACATAGACCTGTAGGTCACACCTGGCTGCTGTAGCCATTATGTCCTTACATAGACCTGTAGGTCACACCTGGCTGCTGTAGCCATTATGTTCTTACATAGACCTGTAGGTCACACCTGGCTGCTGTAGCCATTATGTTCTTACATAGACCTGTAGGTCACACCTGGCTGCTGTAGCCATTATGTCCTTACATAGACCTGTAGGTCACACCTGGCTGCTGTAGCCATTATGTCCTTACATAGACCTGTAGGTCACACCTGGCTGCTGTAGCCATTATGTCCTTACATAGACCTGTAGGTCACACCTGGCTGCTGTAGCCATTATGTCCTTACATAGACCTGTAGGTCACACCTGGCTGCTGTAGCCATTATGTCCTTACATAGACCTGTAGGTCACACCTGGCTGCTGTAGCCATTATGTCCTTACATAGACCTGTAGGTCACACCTGGCTGCTGTAGCCATTATGTCCTTTCATAGACCTGTAGGTCACACCTGGCTGCTGTAGCCATTATGTCCTTACATAGACCTGTAGGTCACACCTGGCTGCTGTAGCCATTATGTCCTTACATAAACCTGTAGGTCACACCTGGCTGCTGTAGCCATTATGTCCTTACATAAACCTGTAGGTCACACCTGGCTGCTATAGCCATTATGTCCTTACATAAACCTGTAGGTCACACCTGGCTGCTGTAGCCATTATGTTCTTACATAGACCTGTAGGTCACACCTGGCTGCTGTAGCCATTATGTCCTTACATAGACCTGTAGGTCACACCTGGCTGCTGTAGCCATTATGTTCTTACATAGACCTGTAGGTCACACCTGGCTGCTGTAGCCATTATGGGTAATATAATTATATCTTTTTGGGGATTGAACAGGGTATCTGGGATCTGCTGTTCAGATTTAGATTTTCGTATGGTACAGCATGACATTAGTGAGACAGGATTCTACTTCTTCTTCTTCATTTGATTGACAAAATAATATGATGTGCCTGTTTGCAGCATAGCTGCCATATCTGCATCCATTGACCCCTCTGATGGAGACATTCAGCTTCTCCAGGTAACTGACACCCAGGTGAGCTTACTTGGCAGACAGGTGGGAAACATCTGGAACTAACAGGGCAAACCTCTATAACTAAGAGGGTAATCTCAATATCTTTTTTTTTAAATCTTGGAATGTTTACATTTGAAATTCACTGCAATATTATCATGACAAGAAAGACAAAATTTCATCTGGAGAACAATAATTTAAAGAACAATCATGTGAAGAACAATCACTGAAAGAACAAACATTTGAAAAACAATCACTGAACAACAGAAACAAATATTCCATACAATAAAGATAAAATATTTGTGTAGGCTGATGTCTCGCACAAAGTTGGCAAGTTTCCAGGAAAGTTTTGTGTGCTCACCAGTTGGTTGCACTTGTGTACAAAGTCACGGCTGTTTTATGGGGTACATGTTGTCTAGTAGCTGTGTTTGGGCACAAACAGCGACTCCCCGCTGCCTTGCTGTTCCCCCTGGTACTGACCGGCAGAGGCAGCTCCGTTGGCCTACAGAGACACAAGAGTTAGGATCAAAGCTGTCATTCCAATCAGGCAATGCAATGAAACAACAATCAGTAAACTGAAGGTACACACAGAAACACAAAAGAACGGAACTTCTAACGAACTTGCCCACACAGCAAAAAATCCTTTTCCTCCCATTCATGCCGTGTTATGAGATGGCTTTGTTTAGCCTTCGTTTGGCGTAAATATTGGTTGTGGGAGTCTTTCTGAGGGGCCACAGGCGCCTGTGTACAAGTAAAAAGTACTGCAGGGGGGAGAACCAAAGGCAAGTAGCAAAACATGCAAATAATTATGCAAGTGAGCGGTGACAACACAAGAAAAGAGATAACAGTTAAACCGTTGAAGATAAGGAATACATGACACTCCCCATAACATAGGACAGGGTGACCTCAGTGGCTTTTTAAAGCCAAGCTGATGTTAATTTCTCCTGTAAGCCTCAGTGACAGAGGTCAAGGCATGAGTGGCCTGATATACTGATTTTTTTAGACACCGAAAGAATTTTTTTTTTATTATTCATTAGTTACCTGGTTAATATGGTTATTTTTTTTTTTTTTAAAGGATTTTCCAGGAAAGACCTTTGCGTTCATGATTCATTTTCTTTTAGCATTCACTAAGCAAAAGGGTTAAGTAAATTTTCTTATTTCTTCTTTGCGTTCACCAGCTGTAAACTCTGGTGGAAAGTTATGGTTGTTCTTCCACTTCTGGACTGCAGTCCTGTTCCAGAACCTGAGTGTTGTGTGTGCATCTATTTGACAGATCTGACTCATTTTTGTGCAAACTGTTGGTTCCTTGCCTCTCAGTCAGATGCACTTCGACGGAAGCTCCCAATTAGTCTACTCTTACCACATGCTTTTGGGTAGGCAGTGGGTCTGTTCTTGTTTTCCCTATAAGAGGGCCCCAGAACCCACACGGGGGAGGTTAGGTAAATATGAGGAAACCTACCCTGGCACGTTTCAACAGTGCATTTTGTGCGACCTTGAAATTTTCATCTTTGCCGCCCCAAGTCTTCAGGACAGTGCCTTGGAGAGCCCGGCCGTAGGAGAAGGTGAGTGGCCAGGGCTTGCGTCCAACATACTGGTTGATGGCATTGAGGTTCACGGTAGCATCCTCTTCTGACTGCCCTCCAGACAGGAAGGTGATGCCTGGCAAAGTAGAAGTGTGGATGTGTTAGTATGTTAGCCAGCTTTTATCATTCTTTCAACACTGGACATTCAGCCTTTAACAGTTGATATTCAACATTTAAAAGTGGATATTAAACATTCAACAGTGGATATTCAGCATTCAGCAGTGGATATTCAACCTTCAACAGTGGATATTCAGCATTTAAAAGTGGATAATCAGCATTCAAAAGTGGATATTCAGCATTCATTACTGAATATTTAGCATTCAACAGTGGTTATTCAGTTTTAAACAGTAGATTTTCAGCACCCAACATTGGATATTCAGCATTCATTACTAGATATTCAGCATTCAACAGTGGTTATTCAGCATTCAACAGTGGTTATTCAGCATTCAACAGTGGTTATTCAGTTTTAAACAGTGGTAATTCAGCATTCAACAGTGGTTATTCAGTTTTAAACAGTGGTAATTCAGCGTTCAACAGTGGATATTCAGCATTCATTACTGGATATTCAGCATTCATTACCAGATATTCAACATTCAACAGTGGATATTCAGCAATCAACAGTAGTTATTCAGTTTTAAACAGTGGATATTCAGCATTCAACAGTGGATATTCAGAATTCAACAGTGGTTATTCAGCATTCACAAGTGGTTATTCAGCATTCAACAGTGGTTATTCAGCATTCAACAGTGGTTATTCAGTTTTAAACAGTGGTAATTCAGCATTCAACAGAGGTTATTCAGTTTTAAACAGTGGTAATTCAGCATTCAACAGTGGTTATTCAGTTTTAAACAGTGGTAATTCAGCATTCAACACTGGTTATTCAGTTTTAAACAGTGGTAATTCAGCATTCAACAGTGGTTATTCAGCATTCAACAGTGGATATTCAGCATTCATTACTGGATATTCAGCATTCAACAGTGGATATTCAGCATTCATTACTGGATATTCAGCATTCAACAGTCGATATTTAGCATTCATTACTGGATATTCAGCATTCAACAGTGGATATTCAGCATTCATTACTGGATATTCAGCATTCAACAGCGGATATTCAGCATTCATCATTGGATGTTTAGCATTCAACAGTGGACATTTAACATTCTTTATTCTATTTTCAGCTTTCACTAGAAGATAAGTAGCATTTGTGAGTGGATATACAACATTCAACTATAGATACCCAGAATTCAACAGTAGGTGTACAGTATTAATCACCTGTAGTTATTCAAAAATAAGTATTCAGCATTCCAAAACAAGCACGAAGCCCCAAGTTTTGAAACTACTATGAGTGACTGGATGACCATTCAACAGTGAATAGAGAACATCCAACAGTGGATTCGGAACATCCAGATGTCTGCAGTCCTTACTCCCACACACACATCCGACACACTGCAGAGGTCTGCAGCCCTCACTCCCACACACGTATCTGCCACACTGCAGAGGTCTGCAGACCACACTTGTGAGGTTACCTGAAACAGCTGCCGGCACAGTTCTGTTGAGAGCCTGCACTGTTGCCCTGGCCACATCCTGGGGAGTATACTTAATGGGGGAAGCTTGTCCTGCAGTCACCATGTTGGGCTTCAGGAGAGTTCCCTCCAGGTAGACATTGTGGTCGGCCAAAGCTTTGTACGTGAAAGCCAGCACCTGTAGAAGGATGTGAGACTGCACATGTGTTGTAACTTATGATGTACATTGTGTAACCAGAACGGCACAATGTGAAGCTGACACTGCATGTTGTGTACCCAGCACCTCACATTTTCTACTCGTCAGACCCATATTTTTCACCCAGTATCCCATAATTTGTACCCAGCACCCCACATTTTGTACCCATCAGCCCACATTTTGTACCCAGAACCCTACATTTTGTACCCAGAACCCCACATTACAATTGATTACACCAACTGTATATGGCATTAAACTAGGTGCTAGCGTGGATAGAATACAGCACACCAGTATCCATCTTCTGACAGTCCATGCCAAGTGGTGCGGTGACACAGTCTTCTATCTCAAGCAGCAACCGGATTCTCTTGGGATCTATAACATGCAGCAAGTTACCATTCCTAGCCAGAAGGCGGTGCTTAGGCTGGGGTGGCTGTTCTAACCATCCTGCTTATAGCAGCATTCTCGATGTACAGTGAGGAGAAGTTCTGAAAACTGTTCAGATCTGCTCACATTTATTCATCGTCTCTCTATTACTTTTTCATGTTACCCCAGTCGGGGAAGGCCCAGAGAACGAATAAACAAGCAAACTTTATTATCAAAAGGTTACAAATTAGGCACACAGGCCCGTCATATATTCAGCTCTTCCAAGCTTTCATCTTTCAGACCACCACTGCTTGTTATCAATAATGCAAATTATGTCTACATAAAAATTTACTGAAATATAATGAAATAATGCATGTACACATCATATATGTGTGTGTGTATATGTATGTATATGTATACCAATGTACACATTTTCTTACATGCTGATACATACACAGACACACACACACTGGCCTAGCCATGTGACATAATCATGACGAGAACAAAGACCTGATCTATTATTCTGATACAGATGGCAAATCATGAGATCCTACAGGTGTCAGCATCATAAATGATGATGATGATGATGATGATGATGATGATGATGATGATGATGTTGATGTTGATGATGATGATGATGATGATGATGATGATGATGTTGATGATGATGTTGATGATGATGATGATGATGATTCAAGCTTGCCTGTAAGTTATGAGAGCTAAAATAATTTTACAGACTTGTTTGAAAATAATCTGGCAAGACAAAATGGCAGAATTGCTTGGAAACAAACAAAAAAAGATAAAATGGCTTCATTCCAGTAAATCCAGGGCAGCTCACTTGTTGAATAAAATCTGACTTTTCTACAAAACCTGTTAATGCACCTAATTATCGCGAAAGAAAAATCTCTATAAAATATATCTTCTTCTTTTTCTTTGAGTTCACCAGCTGCAAACTCCGACAGAAAGTTCTAGTTGTTCATCCATCTCTGGACTATAATCTTGTTCCAGTCTTGTTGTGTGCACATCTGTTTTACAGATCTGACTCATTTGTATGCAGGTTGTTGGTGCCTTGCCTTTCTGGCGGATGCACTTCAACTTCACACGAAGCCCCCAGTTGGTCAACTCTTGAGATATCCTTGTTTGGGAGGCAGTGAGTCTTTTCTGGTTTTAGCCCCACAACGGGTCCTGGAACCCACACGGCGAATGAAATATATAATACCCAAGGACCACACTTTACCACAAATGACACTTCCCTAAAACACCTGCAGGCACACCAGAAGCTCACCTGTAGTTCGGCACCAACCACTGTTCCTTCAAACATGTGTAATCCCTAAGAACAGGCTCCCATAATCCACACAAATCACCCTGCCTAAAACACCTGTAGAACCCAGGAAAACAACCGTAGAACCCAAGAAAACAACTGTAGAACTCAAGAAAACAACTGTAGAACTCAAGAAAACACCTGTAGACCACCCCCCCCCCCCCCCCCAAAAAAAAAAAACTCACCTGTTCCGTGACCCGCTGGGCTGTCTCCAGGTCATGGTCTCCATCTGGAAGTACTTCTGGTTCAACAATGGGCACAAGACCATTCTGTTTGACAAACAAACATACACACAGTATAGTCAAGGCAGAGGTGTTCAAAGGCAAACACTGCACTCATTGAAGTCTGAAGTGTCAGAATTTTACATATTCTAAGTCACGACTAAAGAGGCTGTGTGGCCAGTTCCATCCCCAAACAATTACCAGAACATTCTTAAAGCCACTGGTACCAATATTTATGAAGCTGGTTTAATCCGAGAATCAAAAATGTGGTCTGAAAAAATAATCCGCGGCTCTGCTATGAACAGAAACTGGATAGCTGTCTGGACAAACAGGCATACTACACACTATGCTTACACAACTACTGAGAGTACACTTCAGAACTCCTGGAAATACACTACACAGCTCCTGAGAGTACATTACATAGCTCCTGAGAGTACATTACACAGTTCCTGATAGTACATTACACAGTTCCTGATAGTACATTACACAGTTCCTGAGAGTACATTACACAGCTCCTGAGAGTACATTACACAGTTCCTGATAGTACATTACACAGCTCCTGATAGTACATTACACAGTTCCTGAGAGTACATTACACAGCTCCTGAGAGTACATTACACAGTTCCTGATAGTACATTACACAGCTCCTGAGAGTACATTACACAGTTCCTGATAGTACATTACACAGCTCCTGATAGTACATTACACAGTTCCTGATAGTACATTCACAGCTCCTGAGAGTACATTACATAGCTCCTGAGAGTACATTACACAGTTCCTGATAGTACAGTACACACCCTGTAAGTCAGTGTCTGACAGTTGGTGAGTACAACATTTTTACAGCTGTAAAGTCCACCAACTATTGCAACCATGAGATTCACAAGCACATTCAAATACTGTGTTTCCTTAAAATTTGCAAGTGTGATTTTTTCAAGGTAACCTTCATTCTCCGGCCACACATAATCAAGCGACACACAATCCGGTAACACATGATCCAGTAACACATGATCCAGTAACACATGATCCAGTAACACATGATCCAGTAACACATGATCCAGTAACATATGATCCAGTAACACATGATCCAGCAACACATGATCCAGCAACACATGATCCAGTAACACATGATCCAGTAACAAATGATCCGGCAACACATGATCTGGCAACACATGATCCAGTGACATAAGATCCAGTAACACATGATCCAGTAACACATGATCCAGCAACACATGATCCAGTAACATATGATCCAGTAACACATGATCCAGCAACACATGATCCAGTAACACATGATCCAGTAACATATGATCCAGCAACACATGATCTGGCAACACATGATCCAGTGACAAGATCCAGTAACACATGATCCAGCAACACATGATCCAGCAACACATGATCCAGTAACATATGATCCGGCAACACATGATCTGGCAACACATGATCCAGTGACACAAGATCCAGCAACACATGATCCAGTAACATATGATCCAACAACACATGATCCAGCAACACATGATCCAGTAACACATGATTCAGTAACACATGATCTGGCAACACATGATCCAGTAACACATGATCCAGTAACACATGATCCAGTAACACATGATCCAGTAACACATGATCCAGTAACATATGATCCAGTAACACATGATCCAGTAACACATGATCCAGTAACACATGATCCAGTAACACATGATCCAGTAACACATGATCTGGCAACACATGATCCAGTAACACATGATCCAGTAACACATGATCCAGTAACACATGATCCAGTAACACATGATCCAGTAACACATGATCTGGCAACACATGATCCAGTAACACATGATCCAGTAACACATGATCCAGTAACACATGATCCAGGAACATATGATCCAGGAACACATGATCCAGTAACACATGATCCAGGAACACATGATCCAGTAACACATGATCCAGTAACACATGATCCAGTAACACATGATCCAGTAACACATGATCCAGGAACATATGATCCAGGAACATATGATCCAGTAACACATGATCCAGTAACACATGATCCAGGAACATATGATCCAGTAACACATGATCCAGTAACACATGATCCAGGAACACATGATCCAGTAACACATGATCCAGTAACACATGATCCAGTAACACATGATCCAGTAACACATGATCCAGTAACACATGATCCAGGAACATATGATCCAGGAACACATGATCCAGTAACACATGATCCAGTAACACATGATCTGGCAACAAAGGATCCAGTGACACATGATCCAGCAACATATGATCCAGCAACACATGATCCATCAACACATGATCCAGCAACATATGATCCAGCAACACATGATCCAGGAACATATGATCCAGCAAGATCTAATTACATGTCTGTCATGAGTCAGATGTGCAGTTAGATCTTTTGTCTTGAATCCTAAAGGACCAGTGTGTTTCTTACTTCAAACACTTGGCCAGATCATACTAAAGAAATCTGGCCTCTGTAATGGCTACTTCCACTTAGTATTTAGCCTCTATGGAAGCTATGTACTCATGATTATAGTAGCAATTTCCTGCAGTAAGAATCTGCTGTAGAACTTTCTAGGTTTAAAAGGGTTAATCAAATTTAAACAGATCATGAACATTTTCACATACATTAGGCAATGTTTAATTTATACTATACTTAACACAATTTATTTTTATTACTTCTTCTTCTTCTTCTGGGCTCTCACATGCTATAACTCTGAAGAAAGGTTCTGGTTGTTGGTCCACTTCTAGACTTTGGTTTTATTAAAGAAACCAGTTCTGTGTGCACATCCATTTTACAGATGATCTGGATGATCTAAGTGCAGACTTTTCATTCCTTGCCTGTCAGGTCGATGAACCTCAGACTACTAAGGACACACCCTCAACTTGTCACCTGTTACCACATGTTTGTTCAGTCCCCCCCCCCCCCCCCCCCCCCCCCCCCGCCTAAACTCGAGAGCTTTATGTTTGACTGCTACTGCTCCATGAAATCTGGCATACACTTATGTGAAAAGTAGAATGATTCAAATGGTGTAACATAAACATTTGTGTGGAGCTCAGGAACAGAAGCAAACATGTTGAAGACAATCAAGAGATGAGGAAAAGACACTGGACAGGACAGACACTAGATAGGACATAAACTGAGATACTCTAAGACAGGACATACACTGGACAGGACATACACTGAGATACTCTAAGACAGGACAAACACTGAGATACTCTAAGACAAGACATACACTGAGATACTCTAAGACAGGACATACACTGAGATACTCTAAGACAGGACATACACTGAGATACTCTAAGACAGGACATACACTGAGATACTCTAAGACAAGACATACACTGAGATACTCTAAGACAGGACATACACTGGACAAGACATACACTGGACAGGACATACACTGAGATACTCTAAGACAGGACATACACTGAGATACTCTAAGACAAGACATACACTGAGATACTCTAAGACAGGACATACACTGGACAAGACATACACTGGACAGGACATACACTGAGATACTCTAAGACAGGACATACACTGAGATACTCTAAGACAAGACATACACTGAGATACTCTAAGACAGGACATACACTGAGATACTCTAAGACAGGACATACACTGGACAAGACATACACTGGACAGGACATACACTGGACAGGACATACACTGAGATACTCTAAGACAAGACATACACTGAGATACTCTAAGACAAGACATACACTGAGATACTCTAAGACAAGACATACACTGAGATACTCTAAGACAGGACATACACTGAGATACTCTAAGACAGGACAAACACTGAGATACTCTAAGACAGGACATACACTGAGATACTCTAAGACAGGACATACACTGAGATACTCTAAGACAGGACATACACTGAGATACTTTAAGACAGGACATACACTGAGATACTCTAAGACAAGACATACACTGAGATACTCTAAGACAGGACATACACTGGACAAGACATACACTGGACAGGACATACACTGAGATACTCTAAGACAGGACATACACTGAGATACTCTAAGACAAGACATACACTGAGATACTCTAAGACAGGACATACACTGGACAAGACATACACTGGACAGGACATACACTGAGATACTCTAAGACAGGACATACACTGAGATACTCTAAGACAAGACATACACTGAGATACTCTAAGACAGGACATACACTGAGATACTCTAAGACAGGACATACACTGGACAAGACATACACTGGACAGGACATACACTGGACAGGACATACACTGAGATACTCTAAGACAAGACATACACTGAGATACTCTAAGACAAGACATACACTGAGATACTCTAAGACAAGACATACACTGAGATACTCTAAGACAGGACATACACTGAGATACTCTAAGACAGGACATACGCTGAGATACTCTAAGACAGGACATACACTGAGATACTCTAAGACAAGACATTCACTGAGATACTTTAAGACAGGACATACACTGAGATACTCTAAGACAAGACATACACTGAGATACTCTAAGACAGGACATACACTGAGATACTCTAAGACAGGACATACACTGAGATACTCTAAGACAAGACATACACTGAGATACTCTAAGACAAGACATACACTGAGATACTTTAAGACAGGACATACACTGAGATACTCTAAGACAAGACATACACTGAGATACTCTAAGACAGGACATACACTGAGATACTCTAAGACAGGACATACACTGAGATACTCTAAGACAGGACATACACTGGACAAGACATACACTGAGATACTCTAAGACAGGACATACACTAGACAAGACATACATTGAGATACTCTAAGACAAGACATACACTGAGATACTCTAAGAAAAGACATACACTGAGATACTCTAAGACAAGACATACACTGAAATACTCTAAGACAGGACATACACTGAGATACTCTAAGACAGGACATACACTGAGATACTCTAAGACAGGACATACACTGGACAAGACATACACTGAGATACTCCAAGACAGGACATACACTGGACAAACATACACTGAGATACTCTAAGACAAGACATACACTGAGATACTCTAAGACAAGACATACACTGAGATACTCTAAGACAAGACATACACTGAGATACTCTAAGACAGGACATACACTGAGATACTCTAAGACAGGACATACACTGAGATACTCTAAGACAAGACATACACTGAGATACTTTAAGACAGGACATACACTGAGATACTCTAAGACAAGACATACACTGAGATACTCTAAGACAAGACATACACTGAGATACTCTAAGACAAGACATACACTGAGATACTCTAAGACAGGACATACACTGAGATACTCTAAGACAGGACATACACTGAGATACTCTAAGACAGGACATACACTGGACAAGACATACACTGAGATACTCCAAGACAGGACATACACTGGACAAGACATACACTGAGATACTCTTAGACAAGACATACACTGAGATACTCTAAGACAGGACATACACTGAGATACTCTAAGACAGGACATACACTGAGATACTCTAAGACAGGATATACACTGAGATACTCTAAGACAAGACATACACTGAGATACTCTAAGACAAGACATACACTGAGATACTCTAAGACAGGACATACACTGATATACTCTAAGACAGGACATACAATGAGATACTCTAAGACAGGACATACACTGAGATACTCTAAGACAGGACATACACTGAGATACTCTAAGACAGGACATACACTGAGAAACTCTAAGACAGGACATACACTGGACAAGACATACACTGGACAGGACATACACTGGACAGGACATACACTGAGATACTCTAAGACAGGACATACACTGAGATACTCTAAGACAGGACATACACTGGACAATACATACACTGAGATACTCTAAGACAGGACTTACACTGGACAAGACATACACTGAGATACTCTAAGACAAGACATATACTGAGATGCTCTAAGACAAGACATACACTGAGATACTCTAAGACAAGACACACACTGAGATACTCTAAGACAGGACATACACTGAGATACTCTAAGACAGGAAATACACTGAGATACTCTAAGACAGGAAATACGCTGAGATACTCTAAGACAGGACATACACTGAGATACTCTAAGACAGGACATACAATGAGATACTCTAAGACAGGACATACACTGAGATACTTTAAGACAGGACATACACTGAGAAACTCTAAGACAGGACATACACTGGACAATACATACACTGAGATACTCTAAGACAGGACATACACTGGACAAGACATACACTGAGATACTCTAAGACAAGACATACACTGAGATACTCTAAGACAAGACATACACTGAGATACTCTAAGACAAGACATACACTGAGATACTCTAAGACAGGACATACACTGAGATACTCTAAGACAGGACATACACTGAGGTACTCTAAGACAAGACAAACACTGAGATACTCTAAGACAAGACATACACTGAGATACTCTAAGACAAGACATACACTGAGATACTCTAAGACAAGACATACACTGAGATACTCTAAGGCAAGACATACACTGAGATACTCTAAGACAAGACATACACTGAGATACTCTAAGACAAGACATACACTGAGATACTCTAAGACAAGACATACAATACACTGAGATACTCTAAGACAAGACATACACTGAGATACTCTAAGACAGGACATACACTGAGATACTCTAAGACAAGACATACACTGAGATACTCTAAGACAAGACATACACTGAGATACTCTAAGACAAGACATACACTGAGATACTCTAAGACAGGACATACACTAAGATACTCTAAGACAGGACATACACTGAGATACTCTAAGACAAGACATACACTGAGATACTCTAAGACATGACATACACTGAGATACTCAAAGACAGGACATACACTGAGATACTCTAAGACAGGACATACACTGAGATACTCTAAGACAGGACATACACTGAGATACTCTAAGACAGGACATACACTGAGATACTCTAAGACAGGACATACACTGGACAAGACATACACTGAGATACTCTAAGACAAGACATACACTGAGATACTCTAAGACAGGACATACACTGAGATACTCTAAGACAAGACATACACTGAGATACTCTAAGACAAGACATACACTGAGATACTCTAACAATAGAGAAATAAGAATATCCTTGTATTGGAACCCCTAAGACAACAGAAACAGGGAGGGACTTAAACATAAGGAGGAGATAATTCAAGACTGAATGATGTGGGAGCTGCCAGACATAGAACAGCTTGGAAACAGTTGGTTGAGTTTCTATACTCTAGCGGAGAATAAACAACAGAAGCAACAGAGAAGGAATAAAAACTGGCTTTCTGATGTCTGAGCAAATTTATCAACAACTGCAAGAACAACATCATCAACAACAGCAACAAGTTGACAGGCAAGAAAGCACAAGAGAATAATTTCTTTAAACCACACAAGCTCTCACCTGCTGGCAAATACTGGCATAACGTGCCAGGACATTTGCATTTTCTAGCAAAGCCTGGTAGGATGGGGTTTGACCTGAGATCCTCAAGGCACATCGCCACTTGGCAAAACCACAACCACCCTTTTTATACTCTGCGCAGCGCTCGGCAAGATCATCCAAACCTGTAAGTGAAAGTTTCAGTCTTAGTTAGGGACATAACACCATAGGAATGATCAACCAAACCTGTAAGTGAAAGTTTCAGTCTTAGTTAGGGACATAACACCACAGGAATAATAACAGCCAAGTCCCTGTGTGCTGCACTCAATCAAGGACCGCGAAACAGAGAAAGCTGGGGTTTGGGTGAGTGGTGGGGGGGGGGGGGGGCATATGAAGCATAAGGCCTGTTTAGTGAGTAATAACAACAATTTATTATTATAAGATTGAACAGCCTTAAAAGTCAATGGTTAAGCACCAGCAAGGAGATAAAAATTAGAATTTTGTGAGCATGCATCTTTCCTGTAGCTACATACGGATGTGAGTCGTGGACTATCTCTCAGTCCTTAAGAAAGAGAATAGGGGCTTTTGAGCTGAAATGCTATAGAAAGATTCTCAGAATATCTTGGACAAAGAAGATGAGAAATATTGACATCTTAAAAGATCTGAACATCAAGGAAGATTGGCTAATAAACAGCATCCTTTCAGGCAACACATGATCCAACAACATATGATCCAGTAACATATGATCTGGCAACACATGATCCAACAACACATGATCCAGCAACACATGATCCGGCAACACATGATCTGGCAACACATGATCCAACAACATATGATCCAGTAACATATGATCTGGCAACACATGATCCAACAACACATGATCCAGCAACACATGATCTGGCAACACATGATCCAACAACACATGATCTGGCAACACACCATCCAGCAACACATGATCCAACAACACATGATCCAACAACACATGATCTGGCAACACATGATCCAACAACACATGATCCAGCAACACACCATCCAGCAACACATGATCCAACAACACATGATCCAACAACACATGATCCAGCAACACATGATCTGGCAACACATGATCCAACAACATATGATCCAGCAACACATGATCCAGTAACACATGATCCAACAACACATGATCCAGTAACATATGATCCAGCAACACATGATCTGGCAACACACCATCCAGCAACACATGATCTGGCAACACATGATCCAGTAACACATGATCCAACAACACATGATCCAGAAACACACGATTCAGCAACACATGATCCAACAAAGCTGAAATATTTTGGTCACATCAAGCGCCACGACGGATTGGAAAAAATTATACCAGAAGGCATGGTACCAGGAAGGAGGGACAGGGGCCAACCAACACGAAGATGGGCACAGGATTTAAGTGACGCCTTGAGTGTGAAAGTGCATGAGACGGGAAAACTGGTGAGAGACCGAGTTTCTTTCAGGCAGACTGTGATGAGAGCGACGTTCTGCAAAGGACTTGCTACATGATGATGATGACTGTAATGCACTGATTGGCAAATAAATAAAAAAAATATCTTTGAAATAATATGAAATATGTAAACAAATGCTTCAAAGAGATCTTGTATACACAGTTGCGCGGGGATGGGGGGGGGGGAGCACTTAGCCATTGTAAAACTGTTCTAACTGGTGGTGCCATATTCTGGAACCTGGACACTCAGTGCTCTGTTATCCACACGGTTACTGGATAGGATACTGCCATGTATGTGTGTGCTTAAGGATTCAAGGTGGGGGAAACAAGTGTGAGAGTAGAACACTGCAAAGATATCTCACCTTGTGTTGTGCTCTCGTCAAATGTTCCGCCCAGTGGGACCAGGCCTGTGTCAACTTTGATGCCTGGAATAATGCCTTTTTCTTGCAATACCTAGTCACAGAAAAAACAAAACATGTTGTTTGTAACTGGCATTTGAGTTTCCAGTTGAAATGAAAGTCTACCATGGGATTTAGTCTGGATTCTCTGGTTGAGCCGTCTAAAAATATAAATGTTTTCCCCAGTTTCAGACATACCAAAATGAGAAAGATGATACAAGTGTCAAATACCAACCACAAAACTGATGGAAATAAAAACACTCACACAACATAGAAACAAAGAAAGAAAGAAAGCCTTTACAACAAGCATTGGTTACAGTTTATAAGACACTGTACTGAAGGAATTAGGCTTAAAGTTAAATTGCAAGAATTTTAAAATGATGGCTGCAAGCAAATTTTCTCACTGTTGTTAAATTCTCTCGTGCTACAGGAATGAGGATAACTACTTAACATAAATTATGTGCAAGAGTCTGGATGGATGGTATCGATTACTAATAATAACGTTTGTGGTAGCAAGTCATGTACATGATACCAACTCGAGGCAAACATGCAGTTTGGCTAAAGCGTGCCAAGAGCAGAAAGCATGAAATTGTGAGTGAAGTTTGTGAGTGCATGAGAAGAAGAAGAGATTATAAAAGATTTAAGTTAATGAGAATGCTAAGTCTTGTTTATGAATCTTTGGAGAGTTCAGTCTTGGGACCCTGGAGAGTGTAAGCCAGGTGTATCTAAAAGCAAGTGAATGGATGCCAGCACCGACCTGTTCCAGAGAAAACCTGGCCATATTGATAGCCTGACAGTGTAATGGCTGAATGTTATTTACTATCTATGTGAGTGTTCGAGGATGCAACTATGTGAGTGTTCGAGGATGCAACTTTGTGAGTGTTCGAGGATGCAACTTTGTGAGTGTTCGAGGATGCATCTATGTGAGTGTTCGAGGATGCATCTATGTGAGTGTTCGAGGATGCAACTTTGTGAGTGTTCAAGGATGCAACTATGTGAGTGTTCAAGGATGCAACTATGTGAGTGTTCGAGGATGCAACTTTGTGAGTGTTCGAGGATGCAACTTTGTGAGTGTTCGAGGATGCAACTATGTGAGTGTTCGAGGATGCAACTATGTGAGTGTTCGAGGATGCAACTTTGTGAGTGTTCGAGGATGCAACTATGTGAGTGTTCGAGGATGCAACTATGTGAGTGTTCAAGGATGCAACTATGTGAGTGTTCGAGGATGCAACTTTGTGAGTGTTCGAGGATGCAACTATGTGAGTGTTCGAGGATGCAACTATGTGAGTGTTCAAGGATGCAACTATGTGAGTGTTCGAGGATGCAACTTTGTGAGTGTTCTAGGATGCAACTTTGTGAGTGTTCGAGGATGCAACTATGTGAGTGTTCGAGGATGCAACTATGTGAGTGTTCGAGGATGCAACTTTGTGAGTGTTCGAGGATGCAACTATGTGAGTGTTCGAGGATGCAACTATGTGAGTGTTCGAGGATGCAAATATGTGAGTGATCGAGGATGCAACTATGTGAGGATCGAGGATGCAACTATGTGAGTGTTCGAGGATGCAACTATGTGAGTGTTGGAGGATGCAACTATGTGAGTATTCGAGGATGCAACTATGTGAGTGTTCGAGGATGCAACTTTGTGAGATCTGAAGTGCTTTATTTGAATACCCTGTTCAGGTAACAAAGGTAAACATTAAACCGCTGGCCTACTGATAGAGGACCATAGTTGGAGCAATAAACAGAGTCGTTATCAGCTGTTCATATCTCTTTAGAAGTGTTCACATTTCAAGCTTGCTGTGTTGAAGTACTCATCAATGTGCCTGAGCACGTTGCGTGATTAGAGCCCAGAAAGCCATTCCAATGGTCATCATCAAGAAGAAAGAAGTACCAAAGTGTGAAATACAAGCAAATGGCAAAACTCTTCAGCAAGTTAATAGATACACTTTTAGACAGTTATAACATCTGATGCAGAAATTAGAAGAAGAATCCTCATTGCAAAGATGGCCTTTAGGAAATTACAAAAGATACTCACTAATATGAAGATGTCAACTGTGGTAAGGGAAACAAAACAGTGGTAAAGTGCATAGAGCCCCTGTGTTGTTACATACAGGTGAGAAGGGACAATAAACATAGAGCCCCTGGGTTGTTACATACAGGTGAGAAGGGACAATAAACATAGAGCCCCTGTGTTGTTACATACAGGTGAGAAGGGACAATAAACATAGAGCCCCTGTGTTGTTACATACAGGTGAGAAGGGACAATAAACATAGAGCCCCTGTGTTGTTACATACATGTGAGAAGGGACAATAAACATAGAGCCCCTGTGTTGTTACATACAGGTGAGAAGGGACAATAAACATAGAGCCCCTGTGTTGTTACATACATGTGAGAAGGGACAATAAACATAGAGCCCCTGTGTTGTTACATACAGGTGAGAAGGGACAATAAACATAGAGCCCCTGTGTTGTTACATACATGTGAGAAGGGACAATAAACATAGAGCCCCTGTGTTGTTACATACATGTGAGAAGGGACAATAAACATAGAGCCCCTGTGTTGTTACATACAGGTGAGAAGGGACAATAAACATAGAGCCCCTGTGTTGTTACATACAGGTGAGAAGGGACAATAAACATAGAGCCCCTGTGTTGTTACATACAGGTGAGAAGGGACAATAAACATAGAGCCCCTGTGTTGTTACATACAGGTGAGAAGGGACAATAAACATAGAGCCCCTGGGTTGTTTACATACAGGTGAGAAGGGACAATAAACATAGAGCCCCTGTGTTGTTACATACATGTGAGAAGGGACAATAAACATAGAGCCCCTGTGTTGTTACATACAGGTGAGAAGGGACAATAAACATAGAGCCCCTGTGTTGTTACATACAGGTGAGAAGGGACAATAAACATAGAGCCCCTGTGTTGTTACATACATGTGAGAAGGGACAATAAACATAGAGCCCCTGTGTTGTTACATACAGGTGAGAAGGGACAATAAACATAGAGCCCCTGTGTTGTTACATACAGGTGAGAAGGGACAATAAACATAGAGCCCCTGTGTTGTTACATACATGTGAGAAGGGACAATAAACATAGAGCCCCTGTGTTGTTACATACATGTGAGAAGGGACAATAAACATAGAGCCCCTGTGTTGTTACATACAGGTGAGAAGGGACAATAAACATAGAGCCCCTGTGTTGTTACATACAGGTGAGAAGGGACAATAAACATAGAGCCCCTGTGTTGTTACATACATGTGAGAAGGCACAATAAACATAGAGCCCCTGTGTTGTTACATACAGGTGAGAAGGGACAATAAACATAGAGCCCCTGTGTTGTTACATACAGGTGAGAAGGCACAATAAACATAAAGCCCCTGGGTTGTTACATACAGGTGAGAAGGGACAATAAACATAGAGACCCTGTGTTGTTACATACAGGTGAGAAGGGACAATAAACATAGAGCCCCTGTGTTGTTACATACAGGTGAGAAGGGACAATAAACATAGAGCCCCTGTGTTGTTACATACAGGTGAGAAGGGACAATAAACATAGAGCCCCTGTGTTGTTACATACAGGTGAGAAGGGACAATAAACATAGAGCCCCTGGGTTGTTACATACAGGTGAGAAGGGACAATAAACATAGAGCCCCTGGGTTGTTACATACAGGTGAGAAGGGACAATAAACATAGAGCCCCTGGGTTGTTACATACAGGTGAGAAGGGACAATAAACATAGAGCCCCTGTGTTGTTACATACATGTGAGAAGGGACAATAAACATAGAGCCCCTGTGTTGTTACATACAGGTGAGAAGGGACAATAAACATAGAGCCCCTGTGTTGTTACATACAGGTGAGAAGGGACAATAAACATAGAGCCCCTGTGTTGTTACATACATGTGAGAAGGGACAATAAACATAGAGCCCCTGTGTTGTTACATACATGTGAGAAAGGGACAATAAACATAGAGCCCCTGTGTTGTTACATACATGTGAGAAGGGACAATAAACATAGAGCCCCTGTGTTGTTACATACATGTGAGAAGGGACAATAAACATAGAGCCCCTGTGTTGTTACATACATGTGAGAAGGGACAATAAACATAGAGCCCCTGGGTTGTTACATACATGTGAGAAGGGACAATAAACATAGAGCCCCTGGGTTGTTACATACATGTGAGAAGGGACAATAAACATAGAGCCCCTGGGTTGTTACATACATGTGAGAAGGGACAATAAACATAGAGCCCCTGGGTTGTTACATACATGTGAGAAGGGACAATAAACATAGAGCCCCTGTGTTGTTACATACATGTGAGAAGGGACAATAAACATAGAGCCCCTGTGTTGTTACATACATGTGAGAAGGGACAATAAACATAGAGCCCCTGTGTTGTTACATACATGTGAAAAGGGACAATAAACATAGAGCCCCTGTGTTGTTACATACATGTGAGAAGGGACAATAAACATAGAGCCCCTAGGTTGTTACATACAGGTGAGAAGGGACAATAAACATAGAGCCCCTGTGTTGTTACATACATGTGAGAAGGGACAATAAACATAGAGCCCCTAGGTTGTTACATACAGGTGAGAAGGGACAATAAACATAGAGCCCCTGTGTTGTTACATACAGGTGAGAAGGGACAATAAACATAGAGCCCCTGTGTTGTTACATACAGGTGAGAAGGGACAATAAACATAGAGCCCCTGTGTTGTTACATACATGTGAGAAGGGACAATAAACATAGAGCCCCTGTGTTGTTACATACAGGTGAGAAGGGACAATAAACATAGAGCCCCTGTGTTGTTACATACAGGTGAGAAGGGACAATAAACATAGAGCCCCTGTGTTGTTACATACAGGTGAAAAGGGACAATAAACATAGAGCCCCTGTGTTGTTACATACAGGTGAGAAGGGACAATAAACATAGAGCCCCTGTGTTGTTACATACAGGTGAGAAGGGACAATAAACATAGAGCCCCTGTGTTGTTACATACAGGTGAGAAGGGACAATAAACATAGAGCCCCTGTGTTGTTACAT